AGGGGGGGTGGAGTGGAGAACCTTGAGATAGAATGTGTTAAGCGCCTTTGATTTAATCGATTGGGACAGCTAAAAAGATACAAATGTTTTCCTTGTTGAAAGGTATATTAATGTTTCTTAAATGCATTGCTTGTTAACTGATTTATTCCTTGACCTACAGAAGGCTGGGGATGTTTAGTGGTAACTTAACGTGTTCTCGCCCTCTCTTTCTGTCTCTTTCTGTCCCTCGACTACATTAAAGCAAGCACCTTGAAGACCGGAATCTCAGGATTCCAGCAGGTCAGGCCCTGCTTTTAGATATTCAAATCAAGGCAGTGGCATGCAAATGACACTTTAACACATTAAAGTATTTGGAAACCAGCCATCTGTTTTGCTGTGTGGCCTTACACTAATAAACAAAAGATACAGTATAAGGCCAGGCGGGAAATGAAAGAAAGGGTTGGCTGTCTTTGAAGTTCTCCTCCGTCCACTTGAGTCTTTTAGTGGCAACCTCAGAACCCAGCAGCTGAGGGGTGGGCATCGGCGCCCTTGATATGGCCGCAGCAACTGTGCCTACAAGGTCCAGGCTTGCTCCTGTTGACAGGGAAGTGTGGGAAATCTCATGGGGGCTCTAGAAGGCCTTCAGATTCAAAGTTTTTACAGTTTTCTCCCCCCCAGCCCATCCTTAATAAAACACCCTTTGGAGAGAAAGGAAGTCATATGTTTGTTTGTGATGCTGTAAACTTTCTGTTCTACTCTTGGAGCTAGATTAAAGCCTTCCAAAAACGTGTGAAAGTACAGGAAAAGTAGTAAGAGGTCTAGGAGAACTACTTTGAACTCTATTGTTGGCTGCCTTCCTCTGTTTGAAAGCAGACACATGCGTTGGTCAGAAACAACTGAGATATTGAAAGATTTTAAGGTTACTTCCAGAAGTTCACCTGAAAGAACCTGTTGAGCCCAGAAAGGAATTTTTCTTTTTAAATTCCCCCCTGAGTTACATGGCATGGAATTAGAACTGTGAACCCATTGCAGCCATGATGGCTATGAAATCAAAGCTGAGTCTCAAGAGAATGAGACTGCAACCCTGAGGAATGGGAAGTGGGGATGAGGATCTGAATGGATGTTGACAGGGAGAATGGAGGGGAGGGATGCAAGGGTTTACTGAAAACAGATTACGCTCATTTTAAGGGCAGAATTATTGAAACCCTGCTGGACAGCCCAAAAAAAAAAAAAAAAAGTGAGGTGGGGTCATGTGGGAGCCCCAATCTCACAACAGCTTTATACTGGAGCTAATTAAATGTGAATCTCTTAGCCTTTGGTTCACCAATGTGAGGAAAGACTGACGAAGACAGTTTTGGCTTTTGAAGGGGGTTCTGTTTATATATATGTCAACATTCAGTTGGAGGTGAAAAGGTTAGCACTTGACCCAGGAAGTATCCATGTTTGTTTCAAAAATAGATCTGCTCCATGAATTTCTTCCCCATTCTTTTTTTTTTCTTTATGAACTTTGATTATAATTAAGTAGTTGTTGTTTTAAAGAGATGAGTTGACATAGGTTAGATGAAATTACAGTCATGGGTGGCGGGAAGCTTCAGCTACATAATAATGGAAAGCATTCACATTAATTAAAAAAAAATAAAAAAAGCCCACCTCTTCAAAAGCACCACCCTTCTCCCTTTACCTACAAGAAATGAGCCAGCTTGTAGGAATCAACAAATTGTAGCCCAACCAAATACACAGATACTTAAGCCTACCTGAAACTCGAATATATTTATTACAGACATCTTAGACCCGTAAACTCTGCTCTGAATCACCGCACTCCAGGATCTCAGAGCTGTTCATGATTGTACAGGAAAAGGGGAATATCATAGGCTCACAAAGGATAACTGATAGAACTCAGTGTGGTACTCTCAGGGACATCAAAACATTGTGCGACATGCAAAAGACTATTCACGAATCACACAAAATATACATTCATTGTGCCATTCATCACATTAACAATTGAGCTGAAATACATCATATCCAGCTAAGATAGCTGTGGGAGGAAGAAGTTGATTCGAATAATGCCATTAGGTTTTGAATAATCCAGTACAAATTTTAAAGGGAGGGTGACCAGAGAAGCAAGAAGAAAGGGATAGGGATGGGGAGAGACAGTACAGGAAGCCAGGTTTCTGAACCTTGTGCTCTGCAGCCTTTCTTAACTCACTGAAAGAACAAATTGAGGCTACCCTCTGAGGCATCTGACTGGGTTTAAAAGAGGAAATGTATTCTTTCATCTATAATCATATATAAAATTGTAGCAGTTTTGAGAGTTTGCCCACCCTGTTTTAGTCATCTAATCTAAACATTTCTAGAAAATCTGTATAAAGATAAATCTCTCAGGACCAAGTATTTACAACCAGCAAACTCACACACATAAAACTGAATTAAATTAAGAGATGAAGTAGTTGTGTAAACACACTCAGTGTATTTCTTCTTCATGAGCTCCTGGACTGTCTCCTTTCTCTATGTCCTAAGTTTAAGGGCAACTACCTTTAAGAGACGACTAAGTATAAGTTAGAGAAAAAATAAGAGGCCTCCTTCGGGCATGTTTCTGTTGGCAAAGAGAACTACTTTCCAAAGGGTGAGTAAAAGAAACAGGAGGTTCTGTGAAACTCTCCTAAAAGCAGGAGGGATTTTAGAATCCATTAGGAAAATTATGTTGGTACCTGATCTGGATTAGGAGTTAACCTCCCACCAAATCTGTGGTCCACCAAATCTGTGGTCCAGAATTATCTAGAAACACATTGTCCAAGCCAGGAGCTCCCTAGATAGGATCAGAAAGGAAGAGACAGACTGTAAATGCAAGAAAGATAAGCTAAGAATGTGCTTTGGGTAAGTCCCAGCCCAAGAAAGCTCCAGCGGCCGGGCCTGGGGCCTGAGCGGCCTCAGTGGGAGGTAGTCAGAGTGTCTGAGGTAGAAGACTCCGGGGAAGGAACGCAGGGCGAGGAGCTGGACTTCTCTGATGATTCCTCGGCCTTCTCGTCACTTCCCGGCGGAGTGGCCGGAGAGATGGGCAAGAGCCCCTCCTTCTCACGTTTCTTCTGCTTCATTCGGCGATTTTGGAACCAGATTTTCACCTGGGTCTCATTGAGCTGCAGGGACGCGGCGATCTCCACCCTGCGGGCGCGCGTCAGGTACTTGTTGAAGTGGAACTCCTTCTCCAGCTCTGTGAGCTGCTTCGTGGTGAAATTGGTGCGCACCGCGTTGGTTTGACCCACGTAGCCATACTCTCCAACTTTCCCTGGACAGGAGGGGAAACGATGAGAGGAAAAGGTAAAAAATTTTAAAATCGATATGAGATCTCCCACACCCTTCTTCAGAGCCAACAGTCAGGTAAAAGGAAGATAGAGAACCTCTCAACACAAACTGGGCTGGGGAGGGTGAGTGATGAGGTGTAAAGTGTGAACCTGAAGTCAACCATTAGCGTGGTCAGACCAGTGATTAATGGAGCCTGGAAACATTAACAAAACACCACTACCTCCACCACTCCACACGTACACTTCCTATATCCAGAACATCTAAAGTCCTTTGAAAACACATCAGTCCCAGAATCTCCTTTGCTCCGACACACCTGGGCACTCTCCCCACGCCCTGCAACGCTAGTCAGAAGCAAGGCTTTTCTACAAAAGCATTATTAAGTTTCCTTGTAAACTAAGCAAACCGACTCCTTCCAGAATCAGCAAGGAGCATCCACTGGCCGACAGGACTGACCTGTTTTGGGGGGGTTTCTTTTGACTTTCATCCAGTCAAAGGTCTGTGCTGCAGAAGACGTCTCCGACGTAGGGGAGCGACAGGCTTCTTGGTGGCTGGCGTGGAGAGGGGACAAGGAGTTATTATAGGTGGCCAGGGCCAGGCTCTGGTGGTCTTGTCCATATGAGTGGTGAATATACTGAGGCGAGCCCACCGCGCCCCCGGCATAACCCTGGTGGTGGTGGTGGTGCTGGACCATGGGAGATGAGAGATTTCCAGAGTAAACAGCGGGAGCGCACGCGGGGTACCCACCACTTACGTCTGCTTCCTGGTTTAACGCGTAAGGGTTGTAATGCGCACCGAAGTTCTGCGCGCTGTAGCCTGGACCACAACTCGAGTGGGAGTAGGACACCCCCAGGTTCCCGGAAGTCTGGTAGGTGGCCGGCTGGGTGTGGTGATGGTGGTGGTGGTGGTGGTGGTGGTGGTGGGGTGAACTGATCTGCACCCCCCTGCCCACTAAAAAGTGGTCGTCGCCGCCGCAGCTGTTGGCACTGACCGCGCAAGACGGAAAA